GATGAAGTGCTGCCTCCAGGGATGAAAACACAATGAATGCTTGTACTGTCTTACTTGCACTTGTTTTTTTTTTTTTGTTGTTGTTGTTTATTTTAGATTGTTGCTCAAGTTGCTCAACAAGTATCCACTGCCTTGCTCCCCACCAAGTCGTCATGATAGCGGAAGCTTTTCGTGAGCTTTCACGCCTCAAAGTAAATGCGGGTGAGGGTGAGCATTGGCTCATTTGCATGTGACAGAACTGCACCTTTAAAAAAAGGCAAGTAATCAGCAACCTTAGAAGAGGAAGAAACAGCAGCAAGCGAGCGTTATTTCGATTGGAAAGAACAAGAGCGAATGATGCTATAGCAGCAGTTTTATCAGAACCAATATTAAAGAACCAGAAACGGAACACTGTTGTAAAATGATCACCCGCTGTAGATCCATTTGAATGGTTATTGACCAAATGACAGCATTGAGACTTAAAACTCGGCTACCGATCGATTACAATAAGGGCCCTGCTTGAAGTACAACAACCACCCTCAAAAGTGAGAAAAATCTGTATGTCCACTCAGAAGTCAAAGATCAGTTGACAATTTCAACTGGCACAGTGATTCAAGAGAATAATACTGTAATCTGTCAAATCTGTTTCCACAAAAAAAAAAAACAACCCCCCCCCAAAAAACTACACACTGAAAAGTACACAAAATTCTAAGGACCCTGTCATCTATCCAATCAGCGAGGACAGTTAAGACTTTTAATGGGGCATGATACAAGAGCCGGAAAATTTTGAGAGTGATTGACCTTTTAAAGATTAGAATTAACTGGAATAAACAACGGTGACATACTGCAATTACAAAACAGTAAAACAGAGAGAGAGAGAGAGAGAGAGAGAGAGAGAGAGAGAGAGAGAGAGAGAGAGAGAGAGAGAGAGAGAGAGAGAGAGAGAGAGGGCGCCTCGCGCTAACTCTGGATGTACGATAAATATCGGAACGATGACATCTTGTCAATAAATCGAATAACATCAGAAAAAAAGGACGGCCATGGGTACGGTGGCGTTCTGAAAGCCAACGAAAGACGGCTGCGCTGCCAAGAAAGGAAGAGTGCAAACCTTTGGCCAATTTCACCATTAACGTTGTGGGTGGCCTGGCGACCAACCTGTTAGCATCGTTGCCTTTTGTGGGCTACGAAACCACCCGCCGCAAACGGTTTGGACTTTGGAGCTGCCACTATCTTCGAAAACAGGAAGTGTCATGCTTCTGCATACCCCAACAGAAGGAAATAAGGAAACGAGCCTCACTTCTGATTTATGGCCGGGTGACGTTTGACTTTGAAAGCTCCCTTCAAGACATACACTGTGGTGCTCATTTGTACATTTACTCCTTTTTTTTTTTTTTAACACTGCACTTTTTCACCTTGCAGTCCTTGTATGTGCACTTGATGAATCCTTACCCCTGATACACACACGCACACACACACACACACACACACACACACACACACACACACACACACACACACACACACACACACACACACTCTGTATATAATATGACTGAAGGAAGCTTGTTACCTGCACAGAGTTGAGCCTGCAGTAGCCGTTGAGGGGGAAGCGGATGACGTGGGTGGGGTCCTGGTTCCACCCGGCGTTGACCGAGTTGCACATAACGTCCCCCGTCTCGGGGAAGATCTCCTCGATGAGGACCTTCTCGCCGCTCAGGGCGATTCTCTCGCCCAGGTCGGGCGTGACGCGCACCACGAGGCAGTCGCAGGGCTGCGCCATGCGCCGCTGCTCGCGCTCCTGCTTCCAGCGCTCCAGTTCTTTGATCATGGGCGTCAGCTGGTAGTAGCGCGCCTCCTCGTAAAGCAGCTGGAAGTCCTGCGGAGGCAGGAGGGCGAGGTGCCAGGCCACTTCATTAGGTACACACAGACAATCTTAGGAGCTTTGATACAATTACGTGCAATGCTCAGTTTTAACCGGCAGTGTTGCAGAGGAACAAAATATGTATCTCTACAGTTTATCTAAAGCATGAAAGAAAAACAGCTTTCAACCCAACCCTCCCCCACCAAAAAAAAAAAAAAAATTTAATTCGATTTTTATTTTTTTAAAAATGATTCGTTTTAGTTGATTAGTTTTAGTAGTATATATATATTTTTTGTTAGGGACACGCAGCAAAACAAACAAAAAAAATCATATAAAATGGACATTGAAAGCTCATGTTGACAAAGATGAAAACGAAGGACATTTCCGCAACATTTATAGTTAATTCTATCATTTATTTTCGTTTGCTCTTCTGATATGTTCACAAATACTGCTGCACATTCATCTGCAATTTCATCTGTATGTGTCACTGCTGTCAAGTAAGAATTTTGTGAATTTCCCCGCCTTTATCTAAAAAACACAAAGATGTATTTATTTTTTGTTATCTTTTGGGGGAGCCACGTATTGTCTTCCGCCAATATATCTGTTAGTCTCAAACAAACAAAATCGCTTCACACTCACTATTTTTAGTTGTCAGAGGCAACCATATATGCGAATTATATGATAGAAAATACAAGATTCAAACAAATACCGCATCACAGTTTCTGTTTATCATTTTAGGGAAACCATGTATTGTCGTCGTCCCACCAAGGCAAAACAAACAAACAAACAAACAAAAAATAAACATGTCCAAAACAAACAAGAAATAAGCAGGTGGCAGCTCTCATGCGTAGCATCACCATGTTAGCCTTTAGCATGTTTCAAACTCCATCAAGGCCATGGCGGCGCATCACGCACGCAGACAACTTTTGCAGCAGATTGCCTCCCTCTATTCCCCCCCGGCGGGTAGCGCTCGCTGGGGGCGCTTTGCCCCATCGCATTTGCCTCTAATTTCCCACAAGAGCAGATGGCGCCATCATTCAGCGAGAAGAGAAGGGATGCGTAAGGTTTTTTTTTTTTTTTTTTTTTTTTTTTTTGCGTCGAAAGCAGATGGAAGGTGTGGAGGCGGCAATGTGTGCGCAAGCGAACGTGAGGGCAATCATCAGACGGGGGGGCTGTTTTAATATATGCCCGATGTATGGTAATGAGGTTAAGATCCTATTACGAGCCGATTTTAATCAGGTTAAACCTAAATCCTGCTGCTAAACAATTAGCAATTAATACATACGTGTTTGGATTAGCGGCGACAAAGACTGACAGCTTCATTCACTGCTTTGAAAGTCAACTGTTAACGGACGTTCCTTAGCGGCTAGCGAGCTACATTGCTCGACAATTAAAGAACAACCACAAATCATGTCTCATTTATGGATGAGTCATTGTGAATTTTGGTCAGTTTGTTGTTCATGTAATTTGTTCATTTGTTTCCTCCCACATTCTGAAAACATGCATGGCAGGTTAGTGGAACACTCAAGATTGTCCTGAGGTGTGACTGTGACAGCAAATGGTTGTTCGCCTATGACTTGATGTGGGAGAGGTTCCAGCACGCCCGCCACCCTCGTGAGGATAATGGATTAGAAAACAACTTTTTCTGGTCTTGGATCGAATCTTGAATAAAATGCGATTTAATTTACATGACAGAATGCTTTTTTTTTTTTAAGAAAAAAAATAGAATTTTTGTTTTACAAGCTTTTTTCCGAAACAACTAATATTATACTTTTTCTTCAAAAAAAGGTTTTATTTGAAGGGAAAAAAGCGTATTTCTCTACGTTTTAATTTTTTTGTGGGGGTGGGGGAGAAACTTGTTCTCAAATTGAATTTTTTTTTTCCTTTGGAAAAAAAACGACATTCTCGTGTGATTAGAACTTTTTTCATAACAAAAATAGCTTTCTCACGGGGCTCTCGACTAACTTTTTGCAATGATAATGTTTTTTTATGCTGCTCATACAGTATTATGAGAGAACATCTTAAATCGAGTAAATACATTTTTTTTAACACCAAATAACTTTTTATCCTCGAGAGCATTGAACATTGGCATTGAAATGTAGAACAATAAATACAATATCTTGAACAGATTAAAAATCTAAGTCAAACAGGCTCAGGCTCTGTTCACAAAAATTGCAAACATTGGGTGCAGACGTATTGAGCCTCAAGAGGCTAGTTGCACTCGTGCCACCTCTTTTATTTTTTATTTTTTGGAGGTATATCATTAGGGAATTGTGTGCCCAAATTTGTCTCAGTCAAGAGCCTTGTCTCATGGAATATATATTTTTTGGTTCAATGTGGCCCTAATATTCCTTTATAGTACTTTCATAAGTAAATGGCACAGAAAATCCCAAACTAATCAAAACCTCCAAAAATGGTTTCAATACCGGTTGGCTTCTTGCAACTGACAAAAACCCGCACAAAGACGCTGACCCTTTGGGCAGCTTTCTGTTTCAAAGTGCCTCATCTGTCCCAGCTCTGAAGCCAGTGGATGGATGTGTTTTTTTTAACGGGGGTTCTGTCTGCGAGGCACTTTAGTCATCCCCTTCCCCAGCACAAAACAACAGAGTCATCTGCAGCGCCAACGTGAGGATGAGGAGAAAAAGACGGCGCCCGGCAGCGGCTACGTCCCGGCTGCCGCCAGCTCTACCAGACAACTTCATTCCCGAAAAAAAAAAAAAAAAAGAAAAGCTGGGTCCTAGACAGACAGCCCTTTTTGAGCTTCAGAATAATGGCCGACCCGATTGGCCACCGGCAAGGCGACATCTCAGAGGGAGGATGATGATAAAAATAGTCTCTCGCAGGAGGACGGATTGAGCGGCCATGTGTTTTCGGACGAATTATGAGACACGCAAGTGGATTTGAACATCGGAAATTGTTGGTGTCATTTTGAAGTGTGAAACCTTTTTTTTCTTCCTCCCACCTTTTGTGAATTGTGTGGTGACGGCTGGAAATTACATGCGGTCGCTCTTAGTTGAAACCATTTTTTTTGCAGGAGCAATATGTGAAGGGATAAAATATTTCATAAAAAGACTCTCCAAACGACTGTATTAGTTTCACGGCACCCCCACCAATTTGACTGAGCAAAACAGTAAATAGTAGGACATCGGACACTTAAAAAAAAAAAAAAAAAATAGAATTTAATTTTAGTGAGCTTCCGGATAAAGTTATGAAGGGGTAAAAGAATTGTTTCTGTTTGTTCATCATTCGCCACAAAAAAAGAAGACACAAAAAGAAGAGCCTGATTGATTGTCCAGTGGTGTGTGCTTTGCTAACAGTGGTTTTTACTCCCCGATCTGAACAAAAAAACTGTTGGGAGAAAAATAAAAGACTTAAAAAACCCGTTGAAGGTGTTCAATATTTACAATCTTTGTGTGTGTGTGTGTGTGTGTGTGTGTGTGTGTGTGTGTGTGTGTGTGTGTGTGTGTAGTCAACAATGAGTTCAGCTGAGCCACATGGTTGTGGCTAGGGCCTGACCAATGGGGAGATTTTTTTTTTTAAACATGTGCAGGGCTCCCACTAATTACAACGACAATCAGCGTACTAATGAGTTATATCATTTGTTTTTATTTGATTCCATGCCTGTCTAGCAAAATATGTCATTACGTGGAACTGGTCGGTAGCGCAAAAAAAAAAAAGGTTGGGGACCGCTTGACCGTGAGGGAACAAAAAATATGAATGATGTCATCGATTAATCGATTTCAGCTTGACTTTCATCACCTTATAGTCAACATTCAAAAATGTTTCGTAGATCAACCCCTTGCACATCCTCGAAGAGCAATAAGAAACATTTGCAGATTTTTTTTCTTTGTCATGTGTGAGGGCTCAATCATTTAAAAAAAAAGAAATTGCTAAAGATGTGAAAAATAAATGTGTACCTCTTTTGACTTTCGCACAGTAAAAGTACGAATAATAGACGTGAGTCTCAGAATTGATTCATGGCACAAACTTAACGGTTCATAAGCACACCTTCAGCGCGACTGAATGTTGCTTACTCTTGTGTGATTAATTGTGCGTTGAGTAACGAGGGTGGTTATAAATAGTGAATATTTTTTTTGTTCCAGCGATGTCGGCCGAAATCTTTCTTTCCGCTCAGACTTTCACATTGATTTAACAAAACACACAAGGCTGCGGCTGCCAGCAGCAGAACAGACCCAGCCCTCGGGCGACGGCAAGCCTGATTGTGTTCAGATAAGGACATGCTCAATTTTGCCTTGCACTATTTGCATTTTTTCCCCTTCCTCCTCCTCCTCCACCACCCTTTGCTCGGGCTTCACGCAAATTGAAAGGTATGCAGATCAACACAGGCTTATGCGAGGGGATTGTAATGAGTCGAAACAATGAAGTCGGACACATTCTCCTTCAACGCGGCTGCCTGATTGGACGGTCAACATTTCACAGACTGTGAGGCAAAGCATGAATAAAAGAAGGTGGAAAACAAATCGGTACTGAGTCAGATCGTCATTTGCCAAAATATGTGAAGCTTTCATGTCATGTTTTGTTCTTGGAGGCTTGGATCTGGTTCAGACGCTCTATGGGGGTCCCCCCTAAGAACTGGCTCCAGGCTCCGAGTGGCTCGGTCTCGCCATGTTCTCTTCGAGAAGAATGGTGAATGAGGAGCCCGCATGGAAAGGTCATTTAAGTTAAAGTGGTTTACAGTGATGAGGAGAATAAACAATATCGCAAAATAATCCTTCAACAGGAAGCAGCCTTGGATGAATTAAACATTGCAACAGAGCCTTGAATGGCAATGTTGATTCATACATATTTTGGCTAAGTGGCTAAAGTTGCCATTCATTTAATTTAAATCAGATCTGTTTTACCAGTGGACTAAGCTTTATTTATGTATTATTTGTCTTTTCAAGTGCACAACCTCATTAGTAAGCAAATAATTTTGCTTGACAGCCAGCTAGCATCATGGAAAAAGTAGCTCTGAGAAGCAATCAATAATAAACTGTGTTATTGTTCAAAACGAACCAGTGTTACATCTACAACTGCAGTCAAAAATATTTTTGTTCGACATGGGTGTCAAACTCATGGCCACTTTGGAGTTATGTCTTCCCTCGGAGGGCCGTTATGACAGTGAAATCACAAAAATGTTTAATTGTCTCATCGCATTATTAGCTGTACAAAAACAAACGAATGGATTACGAGTTTTTAAATCAGTCCAGTCAACTAAGATGTTTCATTCAATTGTCGTTCAAGTGAGTGTAAACGGGGTTAAAAAAAAAAAAAAAGTTTATTAAACTCACAATGTGCTTATGGAACTTGTGAAAAAAAATGCTATGGTGATGATGAGTAACGGAAAAAGCTCTGAGAAGCCACTAGCTTGTTACTAAAACGGCAACAAATAGCTGACAACGGCTAAAATCAATAATATTCTGAATTAGTGTTTAAAACTATCCCGTCTTTCAACTTGCTGGCTAACTGCAATCAAATACTACAATATGTTTGTAGACATCTAGCATCTAATGTCATCTAGCATCTAATGTCATCGAGCTAGCCTCACTATAAGCAGTGTGAATTTCCATTTTACAGATTTGATTGAAATGACTTTTCATATTTGTGGGACACGAGATACAATACAGAAGCTTAACTTTGATTGAATACATTCCCAACAAGCTCTTGAAACTAGCAAAACAGGTAGCTAGTTTCATGGAACAAAACATGAAAAAACTCGAATAAAGTAAGTCAAATACAGACCATATATTTCAATCTAATCAAAGGTAGAGAACAACTGTTTTAACTTGACAGTTTACCGGTGAACTCAAAATGTATATCTTAACAAGTTGGGTACATGTCATTAAACAAACCATCCGAAATAAATCACACAGTAATTTGTTGCACTGTCATGCTAGCTGCTACTGTACTGATGGTACCATTGTAGGACATATCCCAATATTTCAAAAAGCTTTTTTCGTATTGTCATTATGGGTGTGTAGTATCGTATTTTGAGGTGGGAAAAGACAATTCATTCCATTTTGGAATAAGGGTGTAACATTAAAGTAAAGTGCTGGGAATATTTCCCAGATGCACTTCACATGTTGTTGTCATTGTGTATTATTTGAATAGAAATGAAGTTGTCTTTACAATTCATACCAAATATGCATTTCATGTTCTGGGTAAGGCGACTCTCACCTTGAAGTCTTCGGGAAGCAGCAACTTGCAAGTCCTGAGGAAGCTGAGGATGTAGCGGAATATCTCGCCGTCGCGATCTATGAAGTAGTGCTGCTTCAAGCTGTCCAGCACGATGGGCTCGGTGCCGTTGAACAGGCGACTAATTCTGCAAAGTGACACAAGCGGCGTGCGCGCGCACACACACACACACACACACACACACACACACACACACACACACACACACACACACACACATAAAAACACACACTTAATGAAATGAGTCTAACTCCAGTCAAATGCATGACACAATTACCCTCCATTTATTTTTCAATTTTACTAGCTGCTAGCCCGAAATGCTTTTTTTTCCTTCGCCTGGCCGTTTGAAACAAGGAGCTTAAGGCAGCGTTCCTCCGCTGTAGACTCGTTTGAAGTGTCCCAGTGTGGACAGATTGCATCCTCGGCGCATGTACTTACAAAAATTAATGGCGTGAATGCGGTATTTCACCTGTTACCCAGCTGCAAATGAAACAGACGCGGGAAATGGACAAGAGTCGCATACTAATATATTCCATATACTACACTTTATTTTTTTAAACATTTATACCAGCTTGAAACCTATAAAACTCATCACTTGCTATCAAAGTCAAGACAGACTGTTAGGTTCAGTGAACACTCAAAATTAACCGTAGGTATGAATGTGAGCGCAAATGGTCGTCTGTCTACGTGTGCACTGCCACTGACCTATTCATGGATTCTTTTTGGAACGCTTATTTACAGTTTTTGACCCAAATAAAACAATATATATTTTTAATGCCAATTATAATCAGGGTCCATTATTTGTTGGGCGTTTTTAGCTATTCGGGACAGCAGGTCCGCTGTGCATGGGGTCCTAACCTAAATTTGTAGTTGAACGCCAATCTAGATTCACATAGTATTGAAGGCATAATTATTTTCCATAAATCTTTGTATAAAAACATTTGTAGGCTGCAATTGTAAAACAATTAAACAACAAACTGTTAGCCTATTACTAAATGGGCTAACTTCGTTGTTAACTTGTAACTACGAAACCTTTTATGTTGGGACTGCCGAGGAACCCTCGACACATGTGATAACGTTTTTAGAATGGGGACAGTTTCACCCGGGGAAAGACTACCGTATATTCCGCACTTCAATGAATGTCCTATTTTAAAACTGTCTTCATATATTGGGTGCACCACATTTAAGGCGCTTAGAATAAAAGGTACAATAGTGGCTGCAATTATGTTATGCATCCACTAGATGGAGCTATGCTAAAGGGAATACAACACAATACAGCTTTATTTATATCGAGCTTTCACAACCGCTGCAGCTGTAACAAAGCGCTTTACAGAACATTTAAAATACTACGCCCAAGAAATCCGAATATCGATCCATATATAAGGTAGGTTGGATTAGATAAGATAAGATAAGAAAACCTTTATTAGTCTCGAAGGCGCACTGTTGGCTTTTGAGGAAAATTTAATGCTTTTATGTGCACCTTATAGCGCATAAAATATGGTACTTAGGATTTCTACATTTTGACCTGACAGGGTTCACTATAGTCTGTTTGTGCAGGGTGGAAAATATGCTTTTTTTTTTTTTAAATAACTTCCTCCACCATGGGGGTGATAAATCTATGAAAAATGTCATTTTTTTTCAATGTTGACATAATGTGATGTAATGGCATTTTTTTGTATTCATCGTAACAGCACAATTCATCCATACAGTACAAAGGTGTTCCCTACTGAGTGCCACTCCATTTAATTTTTTGGAGTATTTAACATGCTTTTCCTCCTAATAATTAAAACTCCTCCTCATGTTGGGCTTGGGGCTGCTGTTTTTCCTAATGCTTCATCTTGTTATTGCCTCACTAAATGTGCTTTATTTTAGCACAATGGAGGGATGGTTGTGCACACTGGCAAGACAATTGGCAGTTTCCATCATTTTAGGTGCAAAACAACTGTTAGTGAGGCATTGTCTTTTTGTTTTGTTTTGTTTTTTTCTACACAATCGGCGCTTTCATCGCCGCTTCGCTTCCTGCGTCGAGTGACAAAAGATAATTGTGCAATAAGTTGACCCTCACACCAGCGTGAAAGCAGCCAGTTGTATTACGAGGAGTGGGAACAGACTCTTGATTTCAACGACAACTTTTTAAAAAGCGTTTGTATCAAGTGTCAGCTGACCCCAACAATTCCTCTTCTCCTCTTTGACTGTTTGAGGAAGCAAAGACGACTTTTTCCTCCCTCGCTCCTTTCTTTCTCTCCTCCTTTCACTCTTTCTGTCTTCTCTCTCCATCCTCCCGTCTCCCTCGCTTGCTTTTTCTCTCTGGAAATCGATGCAAAATGCTTTATAAAAAACCAATACTCATCTCCCTGTTTGGCCCCGGGTGTTCCTTTCTCATATGGTCTTGCAATTCTTCCAGCTAGAATTTCACCATACGCCTGCGGGCTAACTCTGTTTTTCATCTCCACTTTTTTAAAAAGCAATTAAAATGCTGCCTGTTTTTCTTTTTCTTTGCCCCCCACCACCACCCGCCTCCTCCTCCTCCTCCTCCTCAGCCTCCTCCTCCACTCACTTCACTCACTCGCTCTGCGGGCCTTCTCATGTTTGCCCTTTTCTGTTCAATTGGATGAGAGGTTTAACAGGTAGTTTGCTACACGTACGCTGTATGCACAAAAAAGTATTTGAACTCAAAGAATATACACAGCTGGATGCCTTCCACTCCTCTGGGAGTTATAGTTGCCACGTTCTTTTCCGCCAAACTCGTCTAAGCGCCTTTATGGGCTTTGATTTGTGCACAGTGAGCATAAAAGCGCCTTCCCAAAACTGTTCCCACAAAGTCAAAAGCACACAATGGTCGGGAATGTACTTTAGTGCCCATGTGGAGTACAAGCATAATGATAACTGGGCGGAATTTGAACATGCCCCCATAAACCCTCCCACACACCAAAGTCAGCAAAGGCTTGATTGTCAAATTCCTACCTGATCTGCTCATAAAATGTTTGGGGCCCAACAATAGCAAATCTTCAGTGGGGCTACACACAGACCGCAGATCAGACCCAAATTTGTGCATTTTCTCTCGCTTGCGATCGAAGTCAGCAAAGTCATACATCCTCGGATGCATCTACAGGATAATCGTGAACGATGATGTCATGAATGGGGTGTGTCATGAATGAGCCAACGGCAACAATGACGATTAATTTTCACAATTACAAATCCTTATGTGCGTAGTCAACAGCGACTTCAGACGAAGCGCGCACTCTGCGAATGTGACGTCAGACAGAATGTTAGTCAATCAGGAAACCACCTGAACCTTGCTCGAGGAGCAAATGGTGGTGTTGCGTCACCGTGTTTGAATAACGCGTCTCCCACGTTATTCACAACAAAAATGACAAGGAGAAAAGTTTGCCACGGCCATACCTCCTCTCAGTCTTGGTAGCACAACAGACATCATGACGTGTACGGTGTGCTTTGTTGCTCACCTGGAGTACACCACACACGATAAGACAAGCACGAACACATGGCCCGATTTTTTTTTCACATGTGAGGTTGCTAGCATTTTAAAAATGTGCTAAAAAGTGGTGTGTTGGAACCAGCGGATGAAGAGTGTGCCAAAAAGCGCTCAATTGATTGCTGACGGCAGTTGAACAGAATAATACACGGAATAGTTGCACATTAGCTTCGAAAATCTTGAAAATAGTCACTTTATCATTGCCACCCTTTACTGTCACTGTCTATACTAATACTGATAGACCAGCCAAGACACCTCCTTTGCTGAGTTAGTGCTAGCAAGGATGCTCACATTTAGAGTTGTGTGTGCAGTGCTTGTACTATAATGCTAACATGAGAGAACGTTAGCGTTGAGATTTTTTTTTTTTTTGTTTCAACACAGGCAAGTTTTGGCCACATAAACTACAAAGACATATTTCAGTGTCCGATTATGCTTTAAGTTTATCACTATTCTATTCATATGCTTCACGGTAGCTTAAAAGTCAAACACACCTCCCCACTGGAGATTGATCCCCGGAGGGAGAAGAAAAGCCCAATTATTTCTTACTGATACTTTGAGGGCAACCATTTTAACATATTCACATTGTTATTTAGATCAGATTTGGGCCAAGAGTCTTGCAGCCTGGAGTCTGGCAATGAGCAGGGGGGAATCCTGCAGCAATTTTTTTTTTTTTTGGATGAATAAAATACTGTATACTAGCACTAATGCACTACACTTTCACATTACTGCAACGCAGAATATATATTAAAAAAAAAAAAAAACAGTGTGGTGAAAACAATTACATTCCCGTTATTTATCACCACATATAATTTTGGGGGGCAAACAACTAAAAAGTATTTGATTAGTATGTAAGTAAGTAAACACAGCCTATTCTCAGTTAATGACATCTTGACATGGGCCCAATTTTCACAGAAAGGCAAAAGTTGATTTGGCGTGAAAACTATGAAATCTTTATTTTTCTGCCGGGGCAAGTCTGGTATACAATATTTGGGAATTTTGCACACTGTGTTATACCTCGTGAGGTGTTCTGGCAGAATGAAAGCCGTTTTCAATTATAAGCCCACGGCGCACCTGAAAATTTGGTGACAGAAAGGAGAATAAACGCAAAGAGACCAGGTGAAAGCAGGTCTAAGTTGTGGCGCAGGTGCTGTGATGCGATTTTGGTGGATTTGACCCATGTGCAGGCAGACGGATACAGCGCTCCACTGATATGTGTGTTGGATATCATCATATTTCATTCCTAAAAATGACATCAGCATGCATTGAAGGGGGTGGGCTGTGTTGTGACACAAGGACCCACAATGGGGGTGGAAGGCTGTCTACAAGTGCGGCGGCCAATTTTACCTAGTCTTAAAGTGAAGATCTTCATACTTATAAACATACTTTGTGTGTGCCAGTGTCTTACACGGACTGCAGCGAGTCTGTTATGCTTCCATCATGTAGACCGCTTTGATTGGCCTGGGAATCAGGGGAGCTGTGTTCACTCCCACATCGGAACAAACGCGCATTTATACTGTAATTTCGGCCTTTGACAAAAATGCCAAAGAAAATTCCAGCCATGTGCAGAGTTAGACTGCACTTTGCACTAGATGTACGCTTGGCATGAAAATAGTCCCCCATAAATGGCGGGCAATTAAATAATTTGAGCATCAGTGTAGGAAAAACGTGATGATGTGGGACAAGAAAGTTCGCTCAGCTACCGCCCAACTGACTATTTTTTCATTGGTGCTTTATATTAATGCCAAGACGGTTTTTCTGAATACTGTAATTATGACTTTGCTACTGCTTGAGCAGAGGAAAGTAATAGGCTACAAGTTTAGGTTAAGCATTTGCCACATAGCTACGATTTATTGGGAAAGAAACCAACTTGCTACAGTACAGCTTCGTAAAAAGGTCCTTAAATCTACAAAGACTACATCAACACAATGAAAAATAATAAGCCAATCAAATAAAAAGAGTGATTTCCTGAAGCCTCATGTTCGGTGTCGTGACAGTGGGCCATTTGCGTGCATTTAAAGCAACAGAATGCATGATGCCACTGCAGATCGATCACACGTGGAAGAGAACACAGAACCGAGGAAAAAAAAAAAACAGTGCTTCTATCCAAATAGCTTCCTTGTCTGTGTGGAGCATTCGCCCCTAATTTCCTCAGCTTCTGTTCAAGCGAGAGCTCCACAGAGTGTGCCATCAATGTTTCATGGCCACTGTCCCTTAATATGGCCTGGCGCTGAGGAAGACGGATAGCCGCACATTCGTTACTAGACTAACTTTCTCTTGGCACACTGCATTATTCAGCGAACGATCTATTAAAAGTCACCATCAACTTGAAACTCCTTAACCATGCTCTTTTAGGTACCACTCCCCAACCGCCTCCTTTTTCTGGACCCTGGACCACGACCGGACGTGCGTGGCGTTCTCGGGATCCCGCCACAGTGTAATTGTTTTGCTTTATGCTGTCAGCCATTATCCTAATTCACACAAAGGGGGAGGCAAGAGAGGGCGGAGGAGACAGGGCGGGGAGGAGGCTGGGGGGTGGGGGGGGGTCTCCTTCCACTGGCTTCGGCGGAAAGTAGGGCCCCGAGGCCAAGTGTGCTCTGAGGAGGCTGGGAAAAGCGAGAGACAACAGTGAGCGTATGTGTGTGTGCGTGATCCCGGGTGAGAAAGAAACAGAAAGAGACGGGCCGAGCAAGCAGAGGAGCGTGTGTGAAGAGAGAGAGAGAGAGAGAGAGAGAGAGAGAGAGAGAGAGAGAGAGAGAGAGAGAGAGAGAGAAGGAACTCAAAGCCACACTCGCGCTCGCATCTTCACCCTCGCTCGTGTAACCATCACAATGTTCTAACATGACTGTCTATGTGTGTTTTCTGTTTGCCTGATTGCCCGTCAAAAACGTCTTTGGAACATCTTACACTGACGACTAAGGCAACTGTCATATTCAAACACTGTATAACGCTTCGGAGTTTGTTTACACAAGGATGACCTAGAAAATTTCGGAAAAGTTTCATGCAAAAAAATGTCAAAAGTTGTTGAAATGACCAGAACAAAAGTGAAGAATAAAATAAATCTGAAAACAGTGCAGTGTGCATGCCAGGCCAGTGGTGGGCAGTGTCATGTAGAAACACTGTGTACACAAGGCATTCTTTGCATACCTGTCGGCGGCATTTGAAAGGAGTATGGAAAAAGTACTTTGAAGGACATGGTACTACCGTATATTTGGTAACCCGAAGACCCCATTTTAGTATTTTGATACCGGTGATTGCAGTAGCAGTGTCGTAAATGTATATTTTGTATATCTTGCTCGAAAATGCACAAACACAACGCATCTTTGCAGTCGAATTTGTTTTTGTAATGTGTATGAGTACAAAAAAAGATCAGATTTATAACCAAAAATTCAAACTGGGCAAAACATCCTGCAGGGTGAACGTTTTTGTTTTTTTTTTTTGTAATGTTTTGCTTTATAACGCTGACCTGCAAATGCTTTTTATCGAAACATTTTCTGTAATATTGACTTTATTCCTGTGTTAGTTGCGGCCATAGGAACATATTTGTGTATTTTTTCCCTTTTTTTTTTCATATTTAAAACATATAGAACCCCCTGTCTTTCGTGGAAAACATATATTGAATTTTTAACCAGCATTCTGGGGATTTGAAAAAAATACATATTTAATTTTTTTTTTTTTTTACTCCAAATGCTTTTCAGTGGGGCGTGAATTACACGCGGATTTTCACTTTTCGCAAGCTGGCTTGGTCCTTATCCCTACAAATAGCAGGGGTCAACTACACAAGTATGGAGTGCAGTTCATGAAGGTGGCAAGTTGGTATGTCTTTATCCCCCCCCCCTCCAAAAAGCCGCAGGTCAAGCTTGACAATTTACTATCTATATCTTCATCTATATAGATATAGATATACAAACAATAACTCGTAGGCCTTTGTCTGTGCGCTTTGAAGGAATTGAGCTCTCAACCTTTCTTCTTTTCCAGACACCATATCATTTAGCAACACTTTCATGACCATGTTTTGCCATCTACAAAAAATTATATAAAAGATCCGAAAGCTCCTAAAACCTATGATGTTAACAGCGTAAATGGCAACAACAATTGTCAATCTGTGTCGGAGATGAGCTTTTATTTTGCGCCTATAACATAAAAATGAGGAGCTGTCTGGGGATTTCCTGTCAGCTGACTGTACTCATATCAAGCCTTTTATTATCAGGGGATTAGGAGGATTGTTTCCTGTAGCCAATTTGGCAGATTTTCTAACAACCCGCCTGGTGTGTGTTTACCTTGGCCCACATGGGACTTTGACGGCTGACATTGAAGTCTGTATGAAGAAAACCTCCGTGAGAGGTGAGTTCTTAAAGTAGCGTTTGGTATTCTAGTGTCGTTCCAGTATAGGTGTAAGTTTTGTGACTTATGTGTGGAATCCGAATTCCGATTTTCAGCGTTTTACCTTTAAAATCAAGCATGCAAGCAGATTCTTGGGTCACTTTAGATGGCCTGAGCACTTGAGAGTACATTCATTGGACACATGGTTCGGGTACACGGAATACAATCCAAGAGCTGTACTAAAAACCCAACCTTAACAAATATGATGGAACTGAATTTCATCACACTGAAAGGTTTTCCGAATTTTGTGGTTATTTTATTTAGCGAAGGCTGAAAAGATTAAAAGTAGCTCACTGTGTGACGCAGTGCAGTTCTAGAACACTACAAACTACCTTTAATGATATGAAAAAGGTATGGCACTGCTCCACGCATACTTGACACTGCGTGCGCTCATTCACTCTTTTTGTAGTTGTACAGTCAGTCACGCTACAGTCGTTACAAAACGATCTGCGTTTCCGTTGAGGGAAATGTGACACATTCTGATCCAAGACAATGCAGTTCACTTATTACCTCTCTAAATTAACCATTGTGTTAGTAAAGGCGGAATTGGCTACATTACTGGTTCTTTTACAAACTGCGAAAGTCGTGTCATTCTTTTTCCACCCCCTATAATACACACAACATCTTTTTTAACAGATAAAACGCTGATTTAGAAACTACTAAACTGTGTCGTAACCACTACAGTAGAGGCAGCAGGAGCTTAGGAATGAACGTTTTTCACTGTTTTCCCTTTTTAAAAGGATGCCTTAGATCATGCTCACAAAATTGAAGTTATGATACAGTCGGCCAACGCCTGCCATCCGACGTCAATGTACAACAGTCACGATGTGGGGAAAGAACAAATGGTCTCCAACGAGAAGTTGCACTGCTCTCAAAAGTTGACGGGTTCGAGCCACAAGACATTTGGATAATGACGGAGTTTCTCTGATTTGTTTGCCTTTGTGCGCCAACCACAGTGGATTTGAAATAAAACCATTGAGGTGTAGCCCCTCAGAGGTCTCAGAAGAACAGGTTCGAGCATCGCACGGGTGTAGACAGACCACAAAATGACACAAGACCTCCTTTACCTTGAGTCCGGGTACTTGGTGAGCGTGGCCAGGCTGCTGGTGTACATGTGCCCGCCCACGTCGATGTGCACGGGCGCGTTGGCTTTGGTGAGCTGCGCCGGCAGAGGGATACCCTGGGCGGCCAGGGGGGAAACCGGGGACCGGGTCAGAGAGAGCCGCGACATGCTTCGCCCCTCCTGGAAGCAAGTGTACAAAAAAGCCATTGAAGGAGAAGGAAGAGGAAGGGGGAGGAAGACAGAGGAATGGTGGAGAGAGAAGGATCCTACAGTGGCAAAAAACAAAAAACCCTGAGACGATATCCTTCCTGATCAGATCACTTCCATGACTGCCTGGTCGCGTCCCCCTCGCTTGCGTATTACTACACCGCGGCGCCTCTAATTAAGTATGTTTGCATCTTTTGGCTTGGCACCGCGGGCGGGGAGAGGAGGAGGATGCTTATTAGAGAGACAGACAGACAGATAGACAAGAGAGAGTGTGAGAGAGAGAGAAAAAGGGAGAGGGGAGGATGCTAGGTGTCAGCCTCTAGGGGAATAAAACAAACTGCTGCTGCAATATTCTAATTAAAGGTCGCATTATGGGAGAGATGTGATGCACCCAGACACACCAGTGTGGGAGTGAAAGGGGAGGGTGGTCTCCACTTGCACACCTACACACACACACACACACACACACACACACACACACACACACACAAATTGAGTGATCACATCCCTGTTGAAGAGCAATTTCGGAAGGGGAACAAATGAACTGCTAGAGTTGGTGCAGTGACGCTTGCCTAAAAGGAGGTGTTGAAGTAGCAAGTTGATGCCACCAGCAAGCCACCGACACGCCACACAGACAACGGTAGAGCATGCGTGCTTTTGGCCAAATTAACCCAAATTCCTTTCAAAAATGTCCTTATGTTCTAGAATCATAATACAGAAGCCGCATGTTTGGTGAAGGAAACCTATATTAACATAATTATATGGCACCCACCAAAATGCGTGGGAATTCGATTTGTTGCGTGCGTGTAATTATTGCCGTATGTTACGTTGGTTTTTTTTTTTTTTTTTAAGAAGTTGGGCAACTTTTCTGCACCGTATTTCAAAAACTACTGAACAGACTATCAATTTATATCTTCTTTCTTTGTTGATTGGCCGCAACACAAGTTTCAACAGAGACATGTGGTGTCCAGGTTACCAAAATGGTTCCTTATGGGTTTAGAAATTGTTTGTGAACCCCCATAATGCTTGCTAAATTGTGCTCCGTCAAAAAATACTTTGGTTTCTGGAATGTTTGTGATCATTAAAAAAAAAAAAAAAAAAGATTAAGGACTCAGTATTGAAACATCCACATGACTTCTTTACATGACTTGACCACATGAGCATAATAGAATAGTCGATCAAGTGTGTCAAGAGTTTGACCTTAAACCAAACAGTTGAAAACTGTCCTTCATTGCTATTTAACGGTACAAGGACAGTACAATAAGGATATTTACAAACGATTAAAAACATAAGTGGTCCTTTCATAAACTGGTATAGCTCAGTTTTTACTTGAATTAGGAGTTTGTTCTGCCAAAGTCAACTCTTAATGCGAGGGATAACGTAGTAAGAAGGTCACGTGGTTTGGGGGCGTTTTATAATAGCTGACACGTTTCTTCCCTACAGGTTTAAAGCCACATTTAAAAGAAAAAAAGCACAGGCTGAAATGATTGGATTTCACCCATCATTAAATCGACACAATTGATCAGCTTGTTGCACAATGTTTTTTTTTTCTTTTTTGGGGGGGCGGGGAGAGGGGGTGTATCTGAATAGTCTTTAGCCTTTAGTGATTCTTTTTTAAATTCCCAGGGTGGTGCCCGCCTCACTTGGAGTATCATGTTGCTCTAATACGATTACATGAGCATGGGATTACGTTCCAAATCCCGGCAAAAGGAGATTTGAGAAATTGGGGGTGTGGGGGGGGGGGGCAATACCCACCTCTCTTTCTAAAGTACAACAAACTACTGTGGCAACCTTTACATCAAAATGCAAACAAATCAATTTTAAACCTTGATTCAGTTTCCCTGATCTGTTCCCTGACATCAAAGGCTCGCGACAAAAAAAAATGTGCCAATTTTGTGGGGCGTCATGATAGAAATATTGCAGATGATGTTAGTACTAATTATAAGAGTAAAGCAGTCACATAATTTATGGGCAAAGGGCAACGTAGGGGCAATATATGACGTAGTAAGTTGGAGTCCCCAACTTTGGGGGGGGGGGGAAACCCTGTCTTGAAAGGAGCTATAATGAAAGCACATATCACCACACTCTCTCCGCGCATCATGCACACATGCAGAAAAAGAGAAATGTTCAATATGGCGTCTTATTATTATTATTACTACCATTACTCGTATTCCCCGTCTGACGTTACACGCCGGTTTGAAAAAAAAAAACCGATCCTAATGTTGCACAAAACAAACCGTCGTTCGCATTTACCGTTTCGAACATGGTAGACGGCGAATCCAGATGGGAGTCCCGTGGGTGAAGAGACACCAAAAAAATAAATAAAAATGCTCAGATATTTGCTTGTCGGTCCGGTTGGGAGCGAAGGGAGGCAAAACGCACAGATCTTGCGGAGAAACGGCGCACGTAAGAATGCAAGAGTGTGATGCGTTCACGGCTGCCTCGACCCTCGCTTGTCAAGCGAGCGTCCGAAGCCAGACAGAAAGAAAAGAAGCGCACACAGGAGGCGTCCTTGCTTACCTTGAACATCGATAGATGAGCTTGCTTCCTGGCGTCCTTCCTTACCCCCCTCGTCTTAGTCCTCCTCCGCCTCCTTCTTGAAATTAAAGTCTTCCTGTCGTTTATTGGGAGTGGAAGAAAAAGAATCCCGAAGAGGGAGAAAGGGATGATGATGATGATGATGAAGATGATGAAGAAGAATGTGGCTCCGGGCTGCCCGAGCGCCTCTGGGCCAGGGATTAGGCTACAATTAGCTCAACTCCTCTCTCTCGCCAAGGCAATTTTCTCCGGGAAAGAAAAGCGTGATATAACCCCCCCCTCTCCTCACTCTTTCTCTTCACCTCCTCCCCTCTTGGACTCGAAAAATTACGCCCGCACAGATAGGAACTTATATGTTTGTGTGCGCGTGCACGTGTCTGTGTTTTCCCGGGCTACTGAGGGGGGGGGGGGATAATAAAAACAACAACAAAGAGGGAACATACGTTCGCGTTCACTCAAAGTTTAAACAACAAAAAGAGGGAAAACGGGGGTTTTAAATATGTACTAATAGTCCCAGAGGCGACTTAAAGCTAAAGGCGTTCAGCTCCATCTCCAAAGTTCAAAGTCGGCCAGTCAGCCATTTCTCGCCGTGCTCTCATAAAAAAGCCGATAAGAACTTGTTGATAAAAGTCAACAATCAGCATCCGAGAATTCCTCTTCTTCCTCTCCAGCTCTTCGCCTCAATGTCTGGAGTGGATGATGGTGATGATGAGGATGATGATGTGGTTGTTGTTGCAAAGAGGCACACACACACACACACACACACACACACACACACACACACACACACACTCACTCACTCACTCACCGCCCTCAGGCCATTCAAATCAAATGACGTCCACGGACGTGCATGCACGCCGCAGCAGAAAGCAGCCCTCACAGGCCGCCCGCAGCCAAATGCGCCATTTCAATTATAGCGCAGGGGCTTAGATGGAGATATCTGGCCACAACACACACACGTACACACGCAGGCACTTGCACACACACACTCCTCACTCATGCTCAAAATGAAAGCAGACAGCCTCCAGACTTTTTGCAAAATGGGATTCGCAAGCTGATTATTGTTATTTTTGCATATGTGTGTGACACAATGGAAGTGAATCATGCGTGAAGCGTTTTGTTTGTCCAAAAAAAAAAGTTTGGAGTCAGTCAAGGTGCTCCATTATTTATTTATTCGTGTGTTTGTTTATTTGCGGGTAAATAAGTGTGAATAATTGATGCAGCATTGAGCCCAGTAATTACTCGCGACTACCAGCAGCCAAAGAGAGAGGAAAGAGGGCACGTTTCTTGATATTTGGCTCCAACCAGTGCAAGAAGCGGGTACTACATCACATGATTGATCATAGCGATCAATTCGTTTAATTGAGGGAGAATATAAAACCACGCACATTTCTTGGTGTGTTTTTTTCCTGTATCACTGTCATTCCAATAACAACACCACCACTACAGTGGGGGGAATACTTATTTGATCCCTGAATAAGTTTGTCAGTTTACTCACTTTTTACAGTCTCTAGTGTAATGGGCAGAATATCCACCCCAAATGCATCGAAACACAATATAAAAGTGATCAAGGTTAAATTTCTTCTCCCGTGTATAGCCAACATTTGCACCCAATGAAGTGTCGCGATACTTTTGAAAAAATATGATTCAAGTAAATAGTCGTCCTCCAAACAAAGAGCGATTACATAATTAGTTAAAAATCAGTGTAGTTTTCACATGCAGGTTAAACCCAAATCCCAAGCTGAACGTAGAAATTCACTGCAATTTATCGTTTGAATAATTATTTATCTTCAACAATTATGCATCTTCAACAATGACTTGATTTTCACCTATTGGCAGATCTCTGATTTTACATCGGTTACATGTATAGAGGTAGTCTTCACAGGCATATAAAAAAAAACAAGTTGACTTGTTGACCTCCGGTCTCATCGTCACCTTTTGTGATTTCGGTTTACCGCAAAAATAAAGGACTCAGCCTCTCTGTTCCAATACTTTTGGAAGGGAGCGTACGGAGGAGGTTGGTCATATGGCAAGTGTGCGATTTCCATCCATCTTAATGGACTGACACTTTCTAGCACAAGTTTTCCAAGAGGTAATAGAGTGATAACATTGGCAATATTTGACAGCGGGACTGGTGGCAGTTTGGGAATGCGTCTCTCCCTGAAGCGGGCCAAGTCTTGGTAATTAGACCCCAGTGCGCCCCAGAAATCCCCCTCATCCAAACCCCCCTGGCACAGATTTGTTGTTTCCAGAGGTACAAACTGTAGGGATGTTAGAGGGGGGGAAGGAGAGACCTGGATTTTTTTTCTCATTAAAAGGAAACAAGCCTGGAGTTAGTTCAATTACATGTGGCGGGCCTATGCAGGGATGTTGTAAATTTAAAGATTTAAATAGCTTACAAAGTGGCTCGGGGACGCATCAGTTAATTTCCTTAATTTATGGATTTTAGCTGCGCCGTGTCAATGTGAAGTAGGTCACGTGGAGGACTTGTGTGCGCCTCGCAACAGCAGGTGCATGGATGACACGCAGGTTCCAAACAAGTGCCCAATCAGATTATTGATCACAAATAAGCTTTGAAGCTAACATTCCGCATCGTTTCAAATGCGCGCAAATCACGAGTTTTCTCCCATGCACCGTCACCCGTTTGCATGAATGAAGTCAATGAATTAATGCATGGCCCTATATGAAAAATCATCACATCACCTCCAGGCCTGATAAGCAGGTGCTGTTAATGTCCCGCTAAGGAGGACATGAATGTGCCTCCAGAGCTTCTCCCCCTCCGCTATACCTCCCCAAACACGTTTTTAATGACGTGATGATGTCATAGATCTTCACAAAGCTTTACAATGATTTAAGATTTACTACACTGAAAAAAAGTTTGCTCGATATCTTTGCAATATCAGGACGCACACAAAAAACAAAAACAAAAATCTCAAAGTCAGCCATTTCGGTTTAAAGCAACCATCGCTGTTGATCCTCTGCAAAAATGATTTTTAGTTTGAGCATTTGTTGATTTATTTTGATGCTGATGAATAAGATCAGCCATACCATATAGAAACAAAACAATACGTACCCATCAAGCCTTCAGTAAGAGCAGCATCATCCGGAATGTCTTCCAAGCATTTGCCATCAGACAAGCGCTCCCCTCTGGCCATGTGGAGAAAGTTGAAGACGAACATTGGGAACTTGCATTTATTATTATTTTCTTTGGGGAGTTTTAAGTGAACGTGCGCGATTGGTGGAGCCAGGCTGCTTCAGCTCTTGCAGCCATTTGACATTCTGCTTGATGTCAGGATGTGTGTGTGTGTGCGCAACCGACTCTTATTATGCATCACCTCCGAGAAGTAGCGGGGGTAAAAAAGTGTCACTTTATTAATAGGCCAGGTGTGTGTGTGTGTGTGTGTGTGTGAGTGTGTGTGTGTGTGTGTGTTCGGGGGGCATTCACTTACATTGCACATAAAGAGAATGGCCCTGGTGCTGTCAACTTTATGTGTCTCAGGTCTACTCTGAATGTGATGGGTTTGATTGAGATGCTTGTTTAAAGTGTGTGTGAATGTATTTGTGTGTCTGTGTGTGGAGAGCTGGGAGGAGTGTGCTGAGTAGGCAGGCGCAAGCTGCAACAGTGTCTCTGTTTGCGTGATCAAAATACTGTATAAGTGATGTTGCTCTGTCATTAGTGTTTATTGACTTTAACCTTTTACTTCACAAAATATAATCGTTTAATATTTCAAAATATGCCAAACATTTTCAAAATATGCATGACTGCATTTTGGGGTATAAACTTTCTTTGTGTATATTGACATATATTTTTGAAAAGATATACGAAATAAAAATAATCCAATTGTACCGCATTCTTGCTTTAACGAAGGTGCTATAACAATCCTTTCAAGTTTAAATGTATCTCACATCACAAATTAAGTCAGCATAAAGTCAAAATGCACTTACCAGTCTGACTTTTGTGCTGAGTCGTCCATCTCGAATCAGATCTATTTCCACTCCGTAGACGTGCTACTTCCGCATTGAACGGCGGCCCCTGTTAAAACGAAGATAGCGTGTCAAATCATGCAAAAGTAACACAGATTTAAGCCTGTAAGAAGGGATAAACAGGCTCCTGCACCCAAAAGATAAATCCTACAAATCATCACCAAACTTTAACGCCACAATAGATGGTGAAGGAAATATAGCGTCCTAATTTCTGCCAAGGACAGCAGTTTCCGTTTGCGGCTCTTTTGAAATTTGCCCATAAGCGTTGCTTCAAATCAAAACCGCTTCTTGTTCAATTTCTGGCATCGGTCATTGATTGAAACGTATTCACACGTCCTGTTATGATCGACACGGTCACCCAATTTCGCATTGATTGGTAAAACTGGTGTCGGGGCTAATTTTCTCTGACCCTCTAGGGGGTGCTACTTAGTGTTTTTTTCTGGTTCTTTTCTTTCTTTTTTTAGGGGGTAGGTTATATTGGGGGTCCATAAAATACTTTTTTTTTCCAGATACACGCATTGTGCATAAATGGAGGCGTCTTCCGAGCACGTTGAGATTTAAAAATGATTAATTTGTTGGGAGTATATTCATACGAGTGCTACTACTACGACCACTACTATTGCTAATAAATCATCATCATCATCAATCTGTTGACAATCTGTCCGGCCCCTGTAGTTAGAGTTTACTGGACTAAAGTGGAACCTTGGTATCTTTAAAGACAGTTGATCAATGTTGATCAATACGTCCATCCAAGTGACCTCGGGGCAATGGCAAAATCTTTAACCGAAGATGTACGAAACAAAATGAAAGACTCTCCGGGTTATTTGTGACATTCGTAATGGTTTTAAACTTGATCATAATATTTTAAAATTTTAAATACAATTTGAGAGGGGCTTATTTGGGGCTGCACAAATTTCTGACATGGCTATAGCATCCTCTTGCCTCGGTGTAGCACTTTGCAAGCGAGGTACCAGGAATAAACCCACTCAACTACGGGAAGAATGAGCCAATAGATTCCAATGCAAATGTCCTCGCTTTCAAACCGAACCTCAGAACTGCGAGGCAGTCGTACTAACCACTCACGCATCAGTATGTTCATTGTAAACCGGGTTTTCCCTCAGAAAATGTCAAGAAAGTAGCCATTTTGTCTGCACGTAACAACGACACGCCTGGAAAAAAAAGTCAGTTCGCTGCTAATATTTGGTTTGCAGTCACGATGTGAACGGCGCCATGTCGTCAATCACATCTGCTATGCATCACATAGCATCCTCTCATCCACCCTGCCCCCTCCCTCCGCTCTGCATGCCTGAAGGGCAGCACCCACAGTCCTCATTAGAGTGCATGTGTCATGATGACATCCAGTGGCAACCTTGACTTATGCTTTATATTTGCACTTATCCATCACAGCGCTGTCATGGCGACGGTCGCAGTCGCACACACACACACACACACACACACACACACACACACACACACACACACACACACACACTGTGCAAAGGTTTGAGGGGGTCCCGCCTGGAATGGGGACCCCCTCTAGTGCCCTTTTCTGGTGTGAGGGAGAAACTGGAGACCGCCATGCTTTTGTTGTGCGCTGACTGAGCTCTGATGTGTCTTCTGCTTTGTCAACACCAAGGCCGCTGCACTGACACCATGGAAGCCCACGCAGCGCCTCGAGGGGACCAGGGAGGAGGGTGAAACGAAGGCATGGTTTGGGTGGGTCACTGTGTAAAAAAATGAATAAATAAAAAGGGTGGCAGGCGGGGGTGGAGAAAGAGGAGGGGCTGGCGGAGGGTGCCAGCTTATAATGTGGCCAGGGCCTCGGGCTGAATGTAGAGTGCTCTGTGCAGGACATAGCGACCGGGCTGCCGGCTGATGACATTTTATGGTCATAACGTGAAATCCCAGCAATTTTTTTTTTTTTTGGGGGGGGGTTACAGTTTTTTACTGTAGTGGGACTTTTGCATGTTGTGTTTTTTTGAGTGCCGTTTTGATTCTAACAAAATGGTAGTCATCAAGAAAACTACAGTACCACCATTCGCAAGCTCACAACGATTTTTGTTGCGCATAAGTAAAACTAGTGTCCGAAAAATGCACCTATCAGCATATTTCTGTGGTCTTTTAGTCATAAGATTCTGCCCAACTGCCCTTCTCCTTCTAAGGTGACATGTTGGCAGAGGATTAGCTAGCGTTGACCAACATGACAGCGAACAGTAACCTCCTTGAAGATCCCAGGAAAGGTCCAACAGCCAGGCTCACAATGGATTAATATCAGAGCGACGTTCCAGATTCTAGATGTTTCCCTCATCCAACAGACATAATTCACATGATCAACTCATCAGAAAACTCTGGAGGATTCTGACAATTATTCTGGCTCAGGTGTGTTGGAGTAGGGACACATTTAAAACATGCACGATAGGTGCTCTTGTTAAGAGTGACCCTTAATGAGGACTTGCACTAGATGACAGTAACATGGATGGAGGGATATATTGGAAAGAAACAGCGTCATCTGCTGGTGGCGTAGGGGAGTGTTCATTTCACTTTGTGCATTATCGCCTTATCAATGATACCACTTTAAACTCAAGTGTTGCAGCAATATTGCGACAATTTAAGAACTTTAAGTAATTTACAATGCATACCTACAAATGCACAACAAACACGAACTTTATTCTGAATATACCGAGTCAAAAGAAACGTTGGGCTATTTTGATATTAAGCGTTTTGACATCATAGTTTTTATTAGCATAGCATTAAAAATGTGGAGTCTTAGCTGGTCCACCAAAACATACATGACAAATTATTTAAGTTCAGACGACATGACAACTGCTTACAATTTGCTGAATACAATCCAGTGTGGAATAACTCGATTCCGAAAACAAAATAACATTTTTACAGTTTTAATTTTTTTTTCATCACATCTACATATTTTTCCCATGGCTAAGCCCAACTGTTGTGGAGCACAGTTTAAGCATTTACGATTTTCCTGAATTGTCTTTTAGCAACGTTCGAAAATCAGACTTTTGCCGAATTTCATCAGAGGATGGGAAATATGCAAAAATGTGCCCCGATGGTTGTTGGTGCTAATTGCTCTACAAAAACAGTTTCTTCATAAGATCCTACTGAGGGATTCCGCAGGGGTCGGCAGTGAAATACTGCAAGTTGGCGAGCAACACCTGCCGCCTGCCAGGCGGCCTTTGGGCTCGTCAGATAAATCCTGTCTGATTATCACCTCGGGAGCTCCCAAAGCAATCCCAGCATTAATGTAGTCCGCGGAAGGAAGGCCATCGGTCCTGGCTCGGACGAGGGCCCGGCTACTGGTTCAACCTGTGGCCAGCTAATGGCCTGGTATCACCTCTCTGCTGTCACTTTCCAAGAAGCAAAAATTGGTTGCAGAATTCTCTGGAAAATAAGACCACACTCGCCTCGCCCCCCACGACTGCAAGGCCAAAGCCTCTGTTACCATGATGACTGGGAGCGGAGCTAGGGGGTTGCGATGATGCGAGCGTGGAGCACTTAGGAGGCAGCAGCCTGCAGTGTGTTGAGGCGCTCTCTTCGAGTATGTGTCGAAAGAAGAAAAGATGATTCATCAGTGTTGCTGGGCAGGTGGTGCCAGTCGTGATAAGAAGCAATTACTGAATGTCAACATGGAGGACACAGAGCCAATTAACAGATTTACATTTAAAATACATTGGTGCTATGTTATCATTTGCATGCTGGCAGGAGAATCTCATCTTAAATGGGATATCAACGAAAATGAAAATGGGAGAATTGCTCTGCCAAGCTGAAAGCTTCACAAAATATGGAGATATTAGCTCAAGGTGAAACCAGCACTTAGCCCGTGGCCGCTTGTGAGACTTCATTATACGTTTTTTTTTTTTGTTTATACATTCAGCTTCATTAAAGCTGCTGCATAAATCATGTCACGAGGAGATTGCATTCTCATTAGAACAAAGAACTTGTCAACATAAACTGGTTGAAATGTGTGTGTTTGTAATATAACAATGCAACATTAGAATATGCTATACAGAGTGTGGAATGTTGTGATCAAACCCCAAAAACAGGTTAGTGTGAACAGTAGACCAGTTTTCGACCCTCAGCAGGATCCTCGACGGAATCTGAGGGATCGCCCAACCAGTCTTCACATGCACGATGACCTTTTGTGGTTTGATGACTTCAGCATTGCATCTCTTCTTTCACTAGCTGTGGGTTGTGACCAAAAGAACAGGATCATGGATACAAGCGGCCGAAATTAGTTTCCTCCACAGAGAGGGTGAGAAGATCTGTCATCTGGGAGGGCGTAGAGTAGAGTAGAGTAGAGTAGAGTAGAGTAGAGTAGAGTAGAGTAGAGCTGCTGCTCACTCCATATTTCGAGGCGGGGGGGGGGGGGGGAACAGATGAAGTGGCTCGGGCCTGTTGTGCCCTCTGAATGCTTCCCTCGTGAGGTGTTTAGGGCACCTCACAAGGAATGGGACCCTGGACCCAGGACACACTGGAGAGATTATGTCTCCTGAATGGCCTGGGTATGAATCCCCCCATTGGAACAGCTGGATGAAGTGGCTGGGGAGAGGGAAGTCTGGGCCTACCTACTAAAACTGCTGCCCCATGTGCCCCAACCCTCGATAAGCAGAAGAAGTTAGATGGATGGATGGATGGATGGATGGATGGATAGATAGATAGATAGATAGATAGATAGATAGATAGATAGATAGATAGATAGATAGATAGATAGATAGATAGATAGATAGATAGATAGATAGATAGATAGATAGATAGATAGATAGATAGATAGATAGATAGATAGATAGATAGATAGATAGATAGATAGATAGATAGATAGATAGATAGATAGATAGATAGATAGATAGATAGATAGATAGATAATCGTTTGGCATGGTCATTTTCGGGATGCTGAAAATAACTACAAATAATTTTAAAAATACTATAATTATACTGCTCAGAAAAAAAAATAAAAGGAACACCTGGAGTTACATTTGATTGTTTAAGTATTCCCTTTATTTTTTTTTCTGAGCAGTCGATAAACATTCACAATTCATTTGTTTCAAAAGATTACAAGAGACAGCTTTAAAATGCTCAGGACAAATTTATTAGTACACACACTCATCAGCCGGAAAAAAGAGCCACCTGAAAAAATGTCTTCCTGAAAAGTCACTATTTGATTGGCAGTGTAAAATAAGACAGAGAGCTCAAAATCTTTTTTTTGTCCTTTTACAATTTTTTTCCCCTACACAATTGCACCAATGATCAACAGTTATACATTCACTTGTTACTTCCATCACTGAATGCTTTCAGTCCACACGCGACACACACGCACACACAGATAAATCATGTTTCGTGGAGGGGCAATTAAAAGCAATATTTATGATGCAGTATTATTTCTTTGAGCAAGGAGTGGGGCTTATAATCAACATGGAATCAGACCAAGACCTAATCAAAGATTAGATTTTGGAACTTTGCAAAAGCCATCACAGTATAGCAAATAAATAAATATATAAATACCGAGTCGGCATCATGGGTCGCAGCACCACATTTGATTACAGGGTGTAGACCATAGGTGTCAATAATGTAGATTTCCACTCAATCACAAAAAAGAAGGAAAAAAACCCCCAAACAAACAACAACAACAAAAAAAAAAACGAACATCGTTACAGAGCATTTTGTCACGCAAAGCACAAAAGCGCGTAGCCAACCCAAAGAAAGTACCTCATATATCGTGACGTACCTTGCTTTAAAATGTGTGCCTTGGCTCGAGACTTACTAATAGTGCGCATTATAAGGCGAATAAAGAAGTTTAGTGGCATTTGTGTTGGACTTTGTTAACCACCGGAGACCTGCAATGTAAGCATCATATACTGAATTTATTAGAAAAGTACACACATTGTTTTTCTTTGTGTTTTTTTTTTTTTTTTTTGGGTGGCGATGGGCATATTTTCGTATTCTGGGGCTGGAATTTTCCTTTGTTTGGGACCTCATTTTAGCACTATCCTCAGCCAAAAAGTCCACATGGATGTTGAGGGACACAAAGACAAAGATAGAAAGACAAGAATGCTTCGAATTTCTAAAATGAAGACCAAAAAGGAACATAAATGCTATTTCTGTTGGACTGTACCAAGCGATAACAGTAGCGATATGCATTGTATGTACCATACAGTTGCGACCGTATGTCGCTGGCATTGGGCAGGAACCTACTATGTCACAATTTGATAAATTTCATATTTTTTTCCACAGATCTATTCTATTACCACACATGTTGGTGTTATTTCTAGAAATTATTTATCATTGTAATACCGGTATGTTGAAAATGGCTTGTACTCTTTGACAATGCAATGTAAATCACTGAACAAATGTGACATTTTTTTAAGAGTCTCCTGAAAAATGATGATTTTGGAGGTATGAGGATTCCGCCCATCACCAGCGATATGGTATAAGGTCAAAATAAAGCCTGTTCACACTGCACTTGGTTTTCTTGGTGTTCAATGCGGGGGCACCTCCTAGGGATGACATCACCTTTGTCCATTTTTGAAAGGTGCCCCACTGCCCTGGGATTAAAGAAATGAAATATTGTGACATGGTTAAGAAGGCAGAGTGACACATGAGAGATCTCCAAATCCAAATCCACAATTTTGTAGTGCGGTCTCCTTCACGTCCAAATCAGCGGAAAAAGTCTCCAGGCAACTTCTGGGTAGGTTGCAAACCAGCCACTTCCAAATATGGGCAAGCTTGCAAGAGGGAGCCGTAGTCCTCATAAAATAGGGTCTAAATGTGTTAATATATGTGTGTGTGCCCACATTGAAGTGGGAAGCTGATGGCAGGCTCGTGGAGGAATTCAAAGGGTCACCGCCATATTGGATGTGTCACTTGAAACATACAGTACATGGAAATGAACATCGGATTATAGCCATTCAATTGAATTGGGCACTCGGATCTGCAGCGTCTAACAGGGTGGAAGGAGCTTGTCTTTGCATTTTTCATGATGTGCACCAGCATTGTTCACACAAAGAAAGCTGGGGTGGGGGGGCGGGATGTTGAGAGTTGGACTCTCACGAAGACAAAAAGACGAGGACAATTATTTGGTGGTTTGGTCACTTGGTGGGCAATGTCCATTCTCACGATGAAACAATTGTATCGTGATTGACAAGTGCGTTAGAAAGCTGTGCAACCAAGCACACCAAACACAAAACACATTGGGAGTCCAACATTGTCTGAAGCTTTTCACTTATGACGATTATTATTATTAATTTTTTTTTAAATGGCTGGTGGCAACACACTGGCATCACAATCAATGACATCAAACAAAAGAAATTTAACTACACATAAAGAAGTACTGATTATGTATCGAGTAGATATATGTGCGTGTGTGTGTGTATATATAGAGAGATATATTAGAAATAGATAGAAAAATATAGAGTCATCTGAATGCCCATTTTACAATTGTACACGACAAAGAGTGGAAAAAACCTTATACAAGGCTGCAGACTGGGTGTGATAAGTAGTGTGTAGTGTGCGCGTGTCTGTGTGTAGTGTTGGGTACTGTGTTACTGACTAGCCAGTTTGCAGGGAGTCAAAGGGGAAAATGTTGTTGCAAGAATTTGGTTGGAAATTGGAAAAAAATTAATTGAAACAATTAGTGGCAAACCGAAACATTTTCAAATGGTACGTGATTCCCAGTGGCAACAGACTGCTGGTTCCATTTAAAACATATATTTAAAATTCAATAAGAATCAATAAACGTCGCTCATAATCTGTATCGCTGACTCTGTATCAGAGGCAATGTTTCACCAGATCCAGAAGATAGTGCTGTCTCGCCTGTTCGACCCCAACCAACGAATTTCCATTTTATAATTAATACAGTCCAGTAATGCACACTTAAAACATTGGCGTGTTGAATTTACTCAATTACATTTCATCAAGTGGGGGCAAAAAAAAAAAAAAAAAAAAAAAAAAAAAAAAAAATCTGGATCCAGAGATATTTTTGAAGTAGTTGTAATGTATACTTAAAAAAAGTCTCTCGATCCAGATGATTTTATTTCATACAACCAATTGGCGAAATAAAAATACGTGAAATGTATTTTATCATTCATACAGAACAGGGGTTCAGTTTCAAAATTCACACGCATCCATAAACGTATATCGTGGACCATATCAGTGGCTTCTGCAATTAGGAGAGAGGATGGCAGGGGCCACTCAGAGTACCCATATTTCCGTTGCGGTATGTTGTATGATATTGAATACAGAATATTGATTTTGATGTAAAAATGAAGGTTCAGGAATAAACTTGTTGAAATATTTCGAACTGATACAGTCAGAGAAGGGTTTAGCTGCGTCGCAGACAAAATGAAAGGCGATATATTGAAAACTATCAAGTTGAACGGTTTTAGTCCATTTTAGCTTTTCTTAAGCTGACAAAAACATTCCCCAAAAGGCCACCCCCCCAGACACACAAAAAAACTCAGTTTCTCATTATCCAATTTTCAAAATATTTTGTGTGTTGAACTTAGCATTTGACAGTCTGCCATTTTTTAAACTGATTAACTTTCCTAATGCTGTCAGATCTGTTTTTTTTTTCTTTCCAAAAGGGCAATTGTTCGCGATGAATTCTGCCTATACCAACAGGTCACCTCCCCCCTTCAAGAAAAAACTTGCTTGGCTTGAAAAATAAACCAAAACATAATGAATGGTAATTAACAACACAATAAATTCAATGATAAAGTGTCCGTTTGAATAAAGTTAAAATATAATGATTGGAAAATCAATTTATCATGAAGTGCAGAACGTTTTGCACAAAATTCTACAAAATTCCCCATATCTTTACCGTTTCAACATACTCACTATTTATTTTTAGATTGTCAAAGAACCAAATCTGCTTTGTTTTGTGAAATGCAAAATTTTGTACATCACTGCTATCAATACCCTTTGGAAAGTGTGTACCACAAACAGTCAGCAACACGGTGTACCCTGTAAATACCTGGATGCCCAAGTAAATACCTCCAAGTGACGAATAGTATTTCAAAGCACAAACCTAACACAGCATAAAAGTACAAAAATGCTACCATAAGTGCATACAGCTCCAGAGTGGACAGCACTGGACACATTTGAAAGGGGTCTCGGTGGGGTAAGGGGCTTTACCTAGTCAATTTTAGGACTTTACATTGAGCAAAACCATATACATCAAATGTGTATTAGTATACACTGATATATAGAGGTATACGGATGCCATAGTTGCTTAAAGTCAAGTAGACAATCCATCTGGTGGAAAGGCATTTGTTTTTTTTCTATTTGACTGACAGCAAGACATAATTTAAAGTCTGTTGAATACTATGAAACAACGATTTTGTTTTGCCCCGAAAAGAAGCATGAACATTTCTCATTTGAAAAGTCTACTTTGCCAAGTACTAGTCAATAATATATAGTTTGCATTCAAGGATAGTCAATAGTACTTTTAACAACATCACACAAACAGGCACCATTTTACAATAAGGGGCTACCCATTTACAAGGCCTGTGAATGATTAGACTATAATTTCTTTGTCAATCATAAGCGGTTAAAATCTACACTAAAAAAAACACTGTGTTGAATTCACTTGATTTGATTTGCGCAGTGTTTGCACAAAATAAAATAATTTAGATGTAGACGATTTTATTTTGCGCAGCCACTTGATGAAATAAAATTGAATAAATTCAATAAAAACTTATTTCGGTTTACTTCCTACAGTTGCTGTTCTCTAAGCGCGACTTATCTTGATGTCGAAGTTGCATGTCAGTCATGACAGTGGGCAGCTTTTCCAAAGTAGTTTTCTTATACATGTGTGAGTCTTCATATCAAAGTGTGGAAGATAATGTTCAGTGTTTTCACTCTATGGGTGTGAGATCACTGGCTTTGATTAATATTTATATTAATAAGAAGATGTTTTTATTAATATAAATATTATAACTGATATTTCGTCCAATAATTAATCCCAGACGATACAGCACAAATAAAATGCTCAACATACTCAAATTAATTTGCACACATGGGAAAGGGAAGTTTATATTGCCAATATTTGTTCCTATTGTAAATAGGATAAATAAGACAAAGTACTTTTTTATGTATTGAAGTATAACTGATTATTTGTCAACAAATAATAGTGATAGATTAAGTATAGTTTGTAATTGGTCTAACAAAAGATATACAGTATCTATCAAGCTAGCCAGCTAGCTAGCTGGCTAGCTCGATAGATAGGCTCACTTAGCAATCTACAAAGAAAATGGTTGAATTAGTCGCTTTCTCTTTATGTCTTTGTCTTGTGGCACTGCTATTGTAACGCATGGTAGGACTCAGTAACAGTAATAATAAACATATAATGAGTCATTCTTTAATATTAATACGTTTCCACCTCAATGTAATAGATTGCTTTAACAGGTTACTTTTGGAACGCGCTACACCAAACATTGCTGCCCACTGTAGTGACAAGATCCGTAGTGACTGATGTGCACTGCATGAAAGCAGCATTTGAACCCAAGTCTATCCACTGTTGTAGGTTTTTCAATACGTATATCGAACTGCATTAGAATTTGTTTGAATATGCCAATGCAGCAGTTAATACATTTAAACTCAATTAATTTGCTGTGTATTGCGACACTTATGACTTTACAGCATGATTTACAAAGCATTAACAAACTTGCTCCTAAGCAATTTGAAAAATCATTTATAAACCCTTTACAAGGGGTACGCTTATTGTCAAGTGGTGGCCGTCAACCTAATGCAGCATTATGCACATTTTTGCATCTTGTAATCTGGTACAAAGTTTTTTTTTTTTTTTTAACAAACCAACAAACAAACAAACACAAATCCTTCATTAGATGATTGATGTGGAATAGCTGCAGAGTGGCGGCAAGAAGTTTTACGAGAGTCTGTCAGTTAAGTACTTGAAAAGGTTTGGAATAATTAAACATGAGATAGTCCATGTAGTAAAAATCATACACCCGCTGCCTCTCCAATGGGCCGAGCTGGGCAAAATACTTCTGCGTGATCTTCAATGAGGTCCTCTCGTCGGCCAAGTTCCGGTCCTTGAAGTTGGGCAGCGTGAGGTTGCGCGGCGCTCTGGCCAAGCGCAACAGCAGGTCGGACTCCTCCTCCATGTTCTCGAACTTGCCGATGAAGTCGTAGTCAATGAGGCACGGGTTGCACAGCTGGTTGGCCGCCTCCCAGTGGATATCAATGCCCACGGGCCGGTGCACGTCAAGCAGGTACTGCACAAACTCCTGGAAGGTGACGCCGTTGCCCGACTCCAAGGCCGACCTGGAGGCGTTGGGCCTGTACTTGGAGATGATGGGCTTCCCAAAGAGCGTGTGGTAGTACTCGTTGGGGTTCTCGAACTTGTCCCTGTAGGCCGACACTATCCTCTCGAGTGGCTCTCGTACGAACAACACTTTGGTGTAGCTGCCCAGGCGCCGCATGATGCCCTGTCGGTCAAAGTTGTTCAGGGTCTTCAGAGGGTTGCCTATGTGGGCGGTATCGTGATTGATGGTCTGAGGGTCCGACGCTATGCCCGCCAGCACCATCAAAGTCCGCTTCCAGTTGGAGCAGCCCGCCTTGGGCACCTGTTTTGGGAAAAAATGTATCTGTTATTGTTTGTCCTGTAACATAACAAAGTACATGTGCAGTCGTATGCTGTCTTGCAAGTGGGGTCCATCTGTAATCAGCTAGCCAATACTGCATTAGAAATTTTCAAAATGCTCATAACCAACCAGAGATTTGCTTTTCAGTTATGGGCAGAGGTCGTAAAGGGTAGTACTCTGTGTGAACTGCAGCTTTCTGATCCTCTCATATTTATGTTTGAAGAGACAAGAGGTCAGTATATACACTGTATGTCGATTAGATAGAGTGCATTGTTTAGTGCGACACTTCCAAAATGTATACATTTATTTGCTCACTAAATTTGTTTGGGTGTTATGATGACTGTCTGCATGGCTGACAGAATGTTATGTGTAAGTCACTATGTCTTGAAGGATATATGTATATTCCGATGATTCATATTCACGCTCTTTCTCAAATGGCCACAATATGGCACTAAAGTACCATCAGAAAGCAAATAATATAGGGGTACCTTGAGTTTACAAGTTCATTCTCTGAACAAGCTTCGTAACTCAATTAACTTCATTTTCAAATCAATCTGACCCATTGAAATGAATTGAAATGCCATTCATCCGTTTCAGTACTAACCAAATATTTTCCCCATTTTGTGTTAAAAACAAGCAAACAAAAAACAAAACAAAACAATAGCCTAGTGAGTGACATGAGCCCTCCTCTATATTGGAACAAATCATTTTTTCCACAACACCTGGCAGTAGAGGAGCTTGTGCTTGTCCTCCACAAAGATGTTCTTCACGTGGTGCTGCGTGATGGTCTTGGAGACGTTGCTCTTGTACTTAGCACACATCTCCTTGGTGAGCTGCCGACGTTGCTCCAGGATGCTGGAGAGCTTCCTCCAGCGCTGGAGGGAAAATAATCCTGACAATGAAGAAGAGGAGGAGGAGGAGGGAGACTTGTTGATGCGCTGGATGGGAGGACTTGTTTTCAAGAGCTTGCGGTGCTTCTTGGAGATGCGCTGCGAGCCCAAGTCCTGTTCTTGGGATCCACCTGTGACCAGCTGTTCTCTCTTCCAGAACTGCGGAAACTGCATGGGGGAGATCGGACTTGGCACCACGACCTCAGCCACTTGGTGCTCCTGATGTCCGTTAGATTTTCCTTGGTCTTTGTCCTGAGGAGAAACAGTCTGGGGAGGGGAGATGTTAAATATGTACATGCTTATTTGTGCAATCTTTCAATTTTGTTCCTCTTAGTTCCTCATTTTACACAGCTCTTAACTTATCATGGTAATGCTCACATGCTAGCTTGCCATTGCCTGTGAATGAGATGAAGCTAAATTAAAGGCCTTATCTTAATTTAGATCATTGTGTCTTAATTTAGCATGTGCTTTAGCCTTGTGGTCTTTGTGTTTGGTATGATGAATTGCTCTGCTATTTTATGTTTTTTGCCGTTATTTAATGGAGGATTGGAAACTTAGTGTTAGGATTGCCTGAGTTTGTTTTATGTAGCAATGGTAACCGCAGACACATGTTTAAAAAAAAAAATCAAGTAGACTAAAAGTATAAAAAGCAAGTTCTGGCAAAAAGAGAGGTAATACTTCAAGTAACTCGGATGAAAGATTTTGAATTTACACATATTGAGAAGAGTGGTCTTTGTGGACTTTGATATAAAATACCAAGAAAATTTTGTTCCAAAAGTGTTTTGGAAAAAACAGGACATCGCTGTTATTCGTAGTCCAGACAGTAATTGATTTTCTTTTAAGATTTTTATTAGGATTGCCTGAGTTTGTTTTATGTAGCAATGGTTAACAGCAGACACATGTTTAAAAAAAATCTGACCAACTCAAGTAGACTAAAAGTATAAAAAGCAAGTTCTGGCAAAAAGAGAAGTAATACTCGGATGAAAGATATAATTTTGAATTTACACATGTTGAGAAGAGGATATAGTGGACTTTGATATAAAATACCAAGAAAATTGTGTTCCAAAAGTGTTTTGGAAAAAACAGGATATCGCTGTTATTCATAGTCCAGATATTAATTGATTTTCTTTTAAGATTTTTTACGTCATGGTTACTTTCAACCATGTACCCCTCAAAAGGGCTACAGTATATTGCCTAATAAATAATCTGTATTGTTGAAATAAATCACTACAAATAAGGAATACAAATTATAATTCAATGAAAAACCCCCCCCCCCCCCAAAAAAAAACATTCATAAAAGAAATCAATAATAGCAAATACTGCATGTTGACAAGTGGATTACAAAACATCACGAAAATGTCCTGCCAAGCCAATCAATGGCTGGCAACTTGAGCGCCGTCGCTCAGGAAGACGCGTGGAGCAACATTGCACAGAACACAATCAATACACAATCCCCGACCTGATCAACTCCACTCCAAGGAGGCCAGTACTATTTCGTGAGGCAATCGAAAGACACCCGTTGTGACCAGGTTCAACGAATTCAAATAAAACGGTGAAACAAAAACAAGCAATGAATGTTTTTGTGAGCTGCTAACCACACAGTGCAACACTTAGTTCTGAAGTACACCGCTAGATGGCAGTGTTGCACTATGTTGAAGTTACACAGCGGCCAAATCCATCTTGGACCAATGATTAGGTGCTGCCATTATAGAGATGGACCATAAACACTTAATGGCATGTTTCAATTAGAATATTCTAATGGCCATGATGCTCAAGGCCACCGTGCATACTGAGGTTTGATTTCAATTAAACGTTTTGATGGTTTCATCAGATCACTGGACTCATTTTACCAGTACAATGCGACAGTGATGCCATCCTGGATCTGGGATCATCCCTGCGGGCTGAATAAAAGGTGAACAAGCTCTGCGAGGTGCGACGGCCAGTCCATGAGTCGGGATAAAGATCCTGCTGTAAATCTACTTCACAATCGAGTTGTCTTCGTTGAAGTTTTTAAAAAGGACTTTTGGTCAATTCAAGTTTTTTCAACATTTTGCTGTTCCAATCCTTTTGTTATACATTATAAGTCCCTCTAAAGGGAAAACAAAAATGTCTTATGAAGCTGACACACCAAAAAGTATGGCCAAATAAATAATGAATCATAATGAAATAAATAAATAAAATGCCATGTATATGAAACCTGGCTTCAAGTACTGAAAAGCAGACATTATTTCAGTTCTGTCAGCTTTAGCGCTGCTAAACTTTCAACTGTCAATCAAATGCGTTCGTATGTCTAGCATATGCTTACGCATTCCGATATGTTTGAGCTGCCAAAATATATCCGCTTTAAGCATCTGGTGGCTGGAATACATCCGACTGAGTCATCATGGGGCTTTTCCATTCCACGATGAGAGATGCTAGCCAACATCTAGCTCGCGGGCGAAGAGGCGTCCGGATGCCACAGACTGACGGCTGGATCATCTATAACTGTGTGCAAATTCATACGGCCTTTGAACCTGGAGTTCAAATTTGGCATTTTTTTTCCATGTAGATTGGCACCTGAGCGATGTGTGCTTCGGACCACACGTTCGTAGCCGACATTATTCCGCTCTTCTTCTATGCTAGGCTTGCCATTTTTAGACGGACAAGTGAAGCATACAACTCTTTTGATTCTTTCATGCAACTACACAATTTATGTGAGGTTTGAGTGGCGAAGTGGTGATGCTAACCCTTTGTGACAGTGTGGGTGTGTGTCTGTGTGGGGGGGGGGGGTCTACAACAAACATGCTGCCCATGCATAAGCTTTTGACAAACATGCCAGATGTGTTGTTTATTTCTAAATGCTAAAAATGTCCTTTCCGCCCAGAATGATGGCCCTAAAATAAATAACATTTGACAAGGATTGTGAGCAAAGAATATCAGAACATAATTATAATATCAGTGTTAATTCTGAACAAATGACCGGATATCAATTTCTAGGCATCGTGACCTGTACAGCTCATAAATTGCTCTTGCTGCCTTCCATTTCGCGTTTGGCATATTAACTAATTGAAGAAATACCATACATGAATAAAATGTTATGAATAATATATATATATATATATATATATATATATATATATATTAGAAAAATTTCATTTAAAAATATTGGCACTTATTTGTTTGTTTGGGGAAAAAAAATCCCAGAGAATAATCTTTGACAACATAAGTCTCTTGGCGGGGACACAATTCAAAACAAGGGGAGTTGTGCTCCAACTCGGAAAGTAGTCTGATCCGACTAAGACGCGGTGCTGGATACTGCACGAGGTCAGCTCCTCTTACACTGATGCCGTCAGACACGCTGAGAGATACAAGGCCGACAATCACTCCTTTTGCTGTAGAGAAGAGCTATTGTGTGTGTGTGTGTGTGTGTGTGTGTGTGTGTGTGTGTGTGTGTGTGTGTGTTGTAAACATACCTCCCTGGATTGCAGCACAGTTCCACGGAGCTTCATACCTGTGGGGAAAGAAGAATAAAATAAGTAAAGAGGAGTTAAAGGTGTCCATTCAAGACTATGGAGTCATCTGACATGAGTTTTTATGGTCACCATAGTGACGGGTGGAAGCTTTATTGGCAGATTTGAGGAAGCGGAACTGATGATGTTTATTACTCTGGATGTTCCCCCATCCCCACCCCACCCCCGGATATAACCAGCAACATGTCCTAAAACCAGCTGTCATTTAATCAGGCTGACAGTTGTAAATGGCCCTACATGGCTGCTGATGGGTGGTAGTCGAAGGAAAGCGGGGGAAAGCGGAGTGGGGTATGCTAGGCGTAGACACCTTCGCCTAAGTGGCTTGTCACTTCCAATTTGGAGGATGGACGTGATGGATAACGGATGGAGGGGGGGGGGGGCGGGGGTGGGGTTTTTGGGATGACAACCGAAACCTTCTTGAAGTGATGCGTTGGATTAGGGCAAGGGCGACCGTTCTCCAGTAGATGGTGCTGTTTTCTCTTTCTAATAACCATAATTATGCCTCGGTAAACTTGAGTAGTTTCCGAGTCTTGGTATTTGTTGAACCCTTGCGCGTATTCAAGACAAATTGTGTGCCGGATGCAGCATAGCAGAACATAACCAAGCCAACAGTGTAAATTCCTTTGTGAGCTTTATTTTTGCCCTCTATGAACATAAAGCGGATGTGACTTACCCCCCCAAAAATTGCCAAAATTGCTTGCTAGTCTTGATATTTTCTTGTACCCTGCACAGATTTAAGATACTACATGCCAACTGAAGCAAATCAAGCCCCTGATCAAACCCGAGCTCCAGATTTCCCTGATAATCCATCTATCCATCCATCAATTTTCTGATCCACTTTATCCTCACAAGGAGCCTATTCCAGATGTCTTCGGGCAGTAGGCGGAGGACACCCTGAACCGGTCGCCAGCCAATCGCAGGGCACACAGAGACGAACAACCATCCACGCTCATACTCAGACCTACTAACAATTCAGTGTTCAATCAGCCTGCCATGCATGTTTTTAGAATGTGGGAGGAAACCGGAATACCCGGAGAAAACCCACGCAGACTCCACACAGGGAGGCTGGAGCTGGGATTGAACCCACGACTTCTGCACTGTGAGGTCGAAGAGCTTCCCTGATAATCTTGAGATTTTATTGTACTCTGCACAAAGTCAATGAAAATGAAAAATAGCTGCGCCTGCTCGGGCTATTTTATTTTGGGTCATTAAATATAAACTAATATGCCTTGCCCAAAAGCTACTGAACTCCATAACAGTAGAGATTTCCTTGTGGGTGAGGGTAAAGCCTCCTCCTTGTATTCCGTTACTTTTCTATCAGCTTAATTGTGGTTGTCTGTTTTTAATACATTGTAAATTGAAGGAAAATATTTATAAACAAAACGTGAGACGGTAAGAATATATTGCAGTCTGCAGCTTACCATCATTTTGTTTGTTACAATAAAAGGTGTTGCTCCCATGCACTATTGTTACAGATTAGCATGCCTGTTGCCTTTATTGATGCAAAAGAAGAAAAGGAGGAGGAAGAGGAGGCGCAGCGGAGGAGGAGGAGAAGGAGAAGCAGGTGTGGCGGGGTGGGGGGGGACAGCCATGCGATATTTTCCAATCTTGTTTTGGTTCAGCTGTACTATTTGATCTCCTCACCCCTAATGGTCGCTCATGTAGGCTTGTGTGGATCCATCGCATGGTGTTGCCGTTTATAAAACGCATGAATATTTAGCAACGCAAACACACACACACACACACACACACACACACACACACACACACACACACACACACACACACGCACACACGCACACACGCACACACTCCAAGAAGCGGAGGAGGAGGAGGAGGTGGATGCATTTTACAAAAGCATTTGCTAACGTGATGAGCCCCTCGGACGACCATCACGTCGACGTACAAGGCCGCTTATTGATCTTGAAAGGCCCATCGCGGTGGTAATTGAAATCTCCCAAGGTCTAATTGCTTCCCTCTGGAGAAGTTCCCCCCTCCCCCCCACTTTGCCTCCTTGCACCGTGTTTTTACACGTTTCGTCTCAGCTGTTGCTTTTGCCGACGCTACGCTTCACGTCTCACGTCTTTCAGCGTGTTTAATGCCGGAACGACAACTCCAGATGACGCCGCGTTTGTTTTGTCGAGCGGCGGCAATTCAAATGTATGGTGATTTCATTGCACCCAGCACGGGTTCAAGATAACCCGTGGTGGATTTAGCAAAGCTTATAGACTGTTGTTTGCCTCACCGTATGTTCATTTTTTTTCCTTTCTAGACAATGGCGCAGGCAAAATTGTTGCATACCTTTTAGCAAACAATGAAAACCCCACAATTGTCACTGCAATATTCTCTCAGAAGCATCGTGGCTCGTAAATAAGCATTTCAGCAAATTCCAAACTCATTCCTTTGATCTTACTCCAGCGATGGTTTTTCATTTGTGAACAAAAGGCAAAATCAATTTTGCCTATCAAATACGAATTTCAAGTTATAGATTTTTTTTTCAAACTTTAGGCCACATTCATGATTTAAAAAAAAAAAAAAAAAGTAAATGTTTTGTACAACAAAAAAAATCCGATTTTCATTGGCTAACTCTCACGACATGTTTTGTTCATTGTTAAAAAGCATTTTTTTGTGATAAGTAGCCATCCTTTTTCGATAGCACTTATCTATCATCATCATGTCGGGTTGCAGGTGCAACCGGTGCAAAAAAAGGAAAGAAAACTGCGAGGTTGTTCTCTTTCACAGGAAAGCTTGATAGGTTGTTGACAAATCAGTTCTGTTCTCTTTCACAGGAAAGCTTGATAGGTTGTTGACTCTTCCGCAAATCAGCGGCAAAACAGTTTAAGTAGTGGTAGATATGACAGTTCTTGCTGAAGGTGTGCTCCGTTTGCTTCCACAAACTGACAGCGTACCCAGAGTATGCCTCTTTGCCGACGATGGCTTAGCCACAAATGAGCATTTTGTGCGGAGGTTATGCATGTATACTGTGTCCACAATTGAATCTTTTTCCAGTGGCATGTCTGGGGATCCGTAAATACCGGTACGCACAAAAAAAGTTTGGCTGAAAGTGAATCCTGGAGAGTCGCTGATTACATTATACAAATTTGTTGCAAAAGAGCCTTGAAATCCTTTGCAAATGGAATATTCTTTCAAGTCAGGATGCCCAAGAGAAGCTTTATTCCGTCCTCCTTTAATGTAATATATGGAACACATGTGATATAATTGCAAGCAAATCTCAAGGGGGGAGGGATTTGCAAACATCATTTATCTTTGTAGTGTCTCGTTGGTTATGGGTAATAGCGCCTGTTTGATTGCAATTTCACAGGCGGTCAATTTCACTCTGCGTAAGTACGCCATTGATTTTCGCTGTGGCGCGTGGCAAAAACAGCAATAAATTGTGAAAACTAACATGGAGCAGAAGCGGGCGATTCAAGTCACATGATTTGACTCGGCTCAGACTTAAGTCGCCAAATTTAGTCTTTCGACTTGGATTTGGCTCAAACTTTTGAAAGGCTTGACTTAAATTTGACTTGACTTTGACTTGAACTGCAACGGTTGACAAGAGGTTAAAATTGGAAGTGCAAGATAGGGTATAATTTTTTTTTTTTTGAAAGAAATGATTTGTGATGGTGCACACAAACATTGAGATCCGTTAGCATGCTACGTTGCGGAGTGCAGACCGGAAGAAAGTACGTCTCTCTCTCTCTCTCTCTCTCTCTCTCTCTCTCTCTCTCGACAGACAC